TCTTTGTGGCTTGTGGAAACTACACTCTGATTTTCCTTCCATATGGTTCTGCAAATGTCACAGCCCCCGTTTTTCTGCACACGCAGAAAGGGTCTGTCTTGTTAACCTCTGTATTCCACACGCCTCACATAAGAACATAGCAGATACCCAGGAAATGAGATGACGCCTCTTTCTAGATGTCAGTACTGCCCCAAGTACTGCCTCACGCCCTGCTGTATTCTCTTCCCCCCAAAGCCCCCAACCTATCCCTTACCTCCAACTTAAACATACTGAACAAAGGCCTTTGAGAGCTAAGAGTGCACTCCCAACCTCAACAACCTGTACTCAGCTCTCAAGGTTCAACTCAGATGTGACCTTCACCTTCAAGCCTCTCTCCTTCCTTCCTAGTGCAGGTGACCAGACTTTTTTTTATCTCCCCGACCAATTTTGGGACTTGTCTGTCTCCTCAGTGAAACCACAGACTTCCTGAGGGCAAGGGCTCTGTCACAGCCCCCTGCTCCCGCAGAAATGAAGATGGACGTGGCACTCATGTCTGCTGAACTGATGAGGAATGCTGGCGAGGTCACATACAGGGCCATCTGGACCCCTTCAGACCTCAGGGCACTCCCCCCGGGCTCAGATTCTGTGAGGTCTGCAGGGGGACATCCCTTCCTCTAGTAGTGGATATGGGGGGATGGCCAGGGAGTTTCCTATGTTGTGGCCCTCCCACACCCAGTGGTGTCATGCAGAGTACCCCCCTCTGAACTCTTCCCTAGATTTCCTTTTAGCAGCTTTACTGAGATACAATTCACACATTTAAAGTATACAATCCAGTGGTTTTTAGTATATTCACAGGGTTGGGCAACCAACACCACAATCCATTTTAGAACATTTTTATCATCCAAAAAGAAACCACCTACATCTTACCAGCCACTCCCCACTGCTCCCAAACTCCCCAGCCCTGAGCAACCACTAATCGACTTTCTGTCTCTAGAAATTTGCCTGTTCTGGACATCCCATGTTAAGTGGAATCATAGAACATGTAGTCTCTTGGGGCGTCTGGGTGGCTCAGTCGTTAAGCGTCTGCCTTCGGCTTAAGTCATGATCCCAGGGTCCTGGGATCGAGCCCCGCATCGAGCTCCCTGCTCAGTGGGGAGTCTGCTTCTCCCTCTCCCTCTGCCTGCTGCTCCCCCTGCTTGTGCTCTCTATCAAATAAATAAACAAAAATCTTAAAAAAAAAAAAAGAATATGTAGTCTTTTGTTTCTGGCTTCTTCCACTCAGCATGTATTCGAGGATCATCCATGTTGCAGGCTGTGTCAGTACTTTATACTTTTTTCTGCTAATATTCCATCCCATGAATACACCACATTTTATTTATCCATTCATCAGTCCAGTCCTCATCAGGACATTTGGGTTGTTTCCACGTTTTGGCTCTCATGAATAATGCTGCTACGAACTTCTGTGTACAAGTTTTTGTGTGTTTGTGTGTTTTCACACAATATACTTAAGAGAAGTGTTTGCACTTCTCTTCAGTATCTACCTAGGAGCAGAATTGTTGGATCATACAGCAACTCCATGTTTGTTTGAGGAACTGCCAGACTATTTGCCTTTTACACCCCCACTGGCCAACTGGCAACGTATGAGGGCTCTGATTTCTTCACGTCCTTCATATTGTTCTGTCCTGATATCATGTCTTTCCTACTGTTGCCATCCGACTGGGTGTGAAGAGGTACCTCGGTGGGCACTGATTTCCCTAGATCTATTAACAAGCAACAACTCTGCAGGGTCTCGGGCACACGAGGCCCGTCAGGCCTGGGTCGGCCCCAGCTCTGCTGCTCACAGCTGTGGGACATTACTAGTTCAACCTCTCAGTCAGTTTCTTCTTGTCAAAACATGTTCCTTCACATGATCCTTAAAAACAGTTAATGACACTTACATGATGTATAGCATGGAATTCCTAGTCCATCATTTATTTTTTTTAAAGATTTTATTTATTTATTTGTCGGGGGGGGGGCAGGGAGTGCACAAGCAGAGGGAACAGCGGACAGAGGGAGAAGCAGGCTCCCTGCCAAGCAAGGGGCCCGCTGCAGGGCTCGATCCCGGGACTCTGGGATCATGACCTGAGCCAAAGGCAGACGCTTAACCAACTGAGCCAGCCAGGCGTCTGTCCCTAGTGCCTTACAGAGAACAATGGTAAGGTTCAAAAAATAGACCTATTAACAACAACAAAGAAACCCCCTCCTATAGGGCCAACAACTGTGACAGTCTCTAGTCTAAAGAGGAAGACCCAAGAAAACTAAACTATTGGGGCCACAAGATTATAAAAATTCATTAAAGACACAAGTACCAACATTCACTGAGAAACTCACTTTCCTTCCATTATCTCTCCTCATTTTCTGGTGGTGGTGGACCCAGGAGAGACTCAAAGCAAAGAAAGGAAGTTGTTCTCAAAGGGAACAGCCTTTTCAATTATTTCTTAAGGTAACAGGTTGACAGGTCTGTCGATTAGACCGAGGACAACACTTTATGGGAAGTCTAGGACATACAGGTCAGCCTATTCAGGATGCAGATGAGACACCAGTGGTCAAAATCGGAGCCCCGTGGATAGAGTGCTCATCCGTGGCACCACTTCAGTGGCATCTGCCCTGCCCCAATGTTGTTAACTCCTGGCTATGCACATGTTTCTGGGAAAGGAGATGAAAGAATATCAAATGTCCATGCAGGCCCCAGAAAAGAGGAAGAGGAGAATGGGAAAGAGTTAGACAAGAGGCCCAGGTGGACAACCCTAAAGAGTCTCTCAATATGACCACACTGCAAGGGCAAGTTCACTTCCAAGGGGTCTGCTCCAAAGAGCCTGCAATCACAGGGGCCTCCCCAAGGAAGGAAGAAGGCATGAGAATCCCGTGAGGATGGCTTTAAGAGAGACACAACAGAGAAGCTGTTCTCTAGGTCTTTGTTCCCTGCTATGGAACAACAAGTCCTGTGACTGTCACCTGCAACCAGGCTTAAGGGCCACAGGCAAGAGGCTAGCTGAGGAGCTTTCAGTGAAATGGAGCTTGCTCTTCTCTACGAACCTTATCCACCGAACTCATGGACCAACATGGAGCCTTCTCGACCCCATTACCTTTGTCCATCAAACTCATGGACCAGATGAAGGCTTCTGATCCCAATTTTTGTCCACCAAACTCATTATTTGATTCAACATATGTCTTCCAGTGCTCCATTAGGGTCTGTCTCACCCCCGCCCACCTTTTAAGGACAAAGAGGTGGGCTGGTCCCCTCTATTTGGCTGATTAGCAGTCTTACCGCGAGCCAAAAAATGCCTTACTCAAAACCAACACTCCTCAGCACAATTTGTTGTTGTTGGTAGTCGCTAACACTTCCTAATTTTTGGTCCATCCAGACACCCTTCTTAGAGAAAAGAGAACTCAGCCCCCCTCCCTTCAGATCTGGCCTAAGCAGGAAATGACAGCCCCCTCTACACACACCAGAACAACAGTGCTATGGATTCACCGGCAGCTCTCACTGTGTCCAGCACCCTGGGACTGGCCCACCTTAGCGTCCGGATGTGTAACCTTGTTCCTATGCCACATTCCTTCCTCCACACCCCTCTTCAAAACTACCACTCCCCCGCCGCCGCTATTTTTGCTGCAAACATTACAATGAGTGGAGTCACAAACAGCCCAACCTAGTGTCACAAAACACATCAAACGAATGGGAAAGGTGTTTAAGATGAAAATTTGTTTAAAGAAGAAAAAACTGGGAAGAAAGAAAAGAGTGGGGACCATGAGAACGGGCCAGACAACATCAGCCTTGGTGGAAGGCTCCTGCACCACACTGGTCATACTCAGGGCTCAGACTTTCAGCCTGCCTGGCTCCTCAGGTGACCCCTCCCTCAGCTGACTCTGGCTCCCCCAAATGAGTACTGTAGTATCCCCCACCCCCCGCCCGTCCACAGTTGTGCCAAGTTACCCACAGTCAACCACAGGGCAGAAGCGGATGACCCTGTGTTCTGCCGAGTAGTCATAAGATCAATAGCAGCCTAAAGCTAGGTCACAATGCCCACATCATTCACCTCCCTTTATCTCATCGGTCAGGCATTTTATCACCTCACATCATCACAAGAAGGGTGAGTTCAGTACAATAAGGCATTTTGAGAAAGAGACCACATTTACATATTTTTATTACAGTATATAGTTATAACTGTTCTATTTTATTATTAGTCGTTGTTAATCTCCTCTTACGCCTAATCGATAAATTAAACTTCATCATAGGTATGTACACATAGGCAAAAACAGTAAATACAGGGTTGGATACTCCAAACCGTTAGCAGGGGGACTAGGGCACAGTCTCCTCAAAACGGACCTTCCGCATCGATCCCCGGCGTTCCAGCGGCCCCCTGGGACCTGGACCCTCCCTTGCACTTGAGAGGGCAGGTGTCCAGGACAGCTGCCCCCCAGGGTCCCCATCCCTTTTCCCCAACAGGGAACTGAGAACTTCGGACTTCCCCTCTGCGAAACTGCGCCCAGAGCAGGGCAGCCCTGCTCTCTGGGTTGGGAGGAGAGAGGCGGCCTCGAGGGGGAGAAGGCCGGGTTCCGCCGCCTCAGCGCGCCGCCGGGGCGACTCTTCCACCCCCGGCTCGGGTTCGAAGCGGCGCGGCCCGGAGAAGAGGAAGGAAGAGGAAACGCAACTTCTGCCGGTGGCTTCTGTCGGAAAGCGGGTCGGGCCCGCAGAGGGGTGGCTGGGAAAAACCTGGGGCCCTGGAGACCTGCGTCCGCGGGAGCAAGGGCGGCGTCGGGGCTGAGTTCCAGGGCGCGGCACCGGCGCACCCAACTTCCCGAAGGAAAGCCCCCCGCGGACCTGACTGGCGGCGCAGCCCTCCCGCCCCGCCCCGCCCCGCCCGCGGCGCGATGCTCCGGCGGGCTCGGCCCGGCTCCAGCCGCCGCGCGCCACCTCCCGGCTCCCCTGCCCGCCGGGCCTCTCCGCGGGACCCCGGCCCCGCGCCCCGGGCCTCTCTTACCATCTGCGCCACTTTCAGCAGGGCCGAGTACGTGCGGGGGTAGACGGGGTCCAGCAGCCCCTCCGAGGGCCTCGCGCCCGGCTGCCCCGCGCCGGCCCCCGGTCCGCCGCCGCCGCTGCTGCACGTGGTGCGGACGAGCCCGGCTCCGTGCGACATCGCGCGGCCCCCTGCCCGTCCGCCGCCTGCCCGGCCGCGGCCGACCGGCCAGATAAGCCGGGCGGGGCGGGGCGGGGGCGGGGCGGGGGCGGGGCCGGGCGGGCGGCCGGGGGCGGGGCGCACGCGTCCGGGCCCCGCGCCGGAGACCCCGGTCCAGCCCGGGCTGCCCGGCGCTTTCCCGGGAGGGCGCGGCCTCCCTGCGCTCGCCGAGGCGCGGAAGCTGGCCTGGAGGGAGCCGGCACACGGACGGTGGGCCGGGCCCCTCCGAAGCGAGCGAGGCCGGGGCCTCCCGGGGTTTGGTGTGGGCGTGGCTGCGGATGTGAGGGAAGAGGACGTGCCTGAAGTGTAACTTACACGCACCGAAATGCCCAGACCCTCCGGGTTCAGCTCCGTTAATTCTCCTTTATGTGCACACCTGTGTAACCACCGCCAACTCAACTAATAGAACGTGCCAGTACTCCCAAAAGATCCCTCGTGCTTCTTCCCAATCTACCTTCCTTCATAGCACCCCCTGGCCCCAAAGCCTGAGGCCACCACAATATTCTGCTTTCTGTCATTATAGATTCGTTTTGCCCGCTTTTGGACTTGCTATACTTGAAATAGTACTGAATATTCTCACTTGTGTCCGGCTTCTTTCACTCAGCTCCGCGTTTGAGATCTTCCTGTTGTACCTAATAAAGCTGCGGTGAACATTCTGGGAAGTTTTGTTTGTTTGTTTTGGTGGACTTAAGCTCTCCTTTTCTGGGGTAAATACCTATGAGTGGATTTACTGGGTCACAGGGTGCGCCTACCTTTACTTTCATTAGAAGCTGTGAAACAGTTATCCAAGTGACATACTGTGTTGCTTCCCTTCTGGGTTAGTTTAGTTAGTTAGTTAGTTAGTTAGTTAGTTAGTTATTTTCCTTATTTGAGAAAGAGAAAACAGGGGAAGGAACAGAGGGAGAGGGACAAGCACACTCCACAATGAGTGCAGAGCCCAACACACGGCTCGCTCTCAGAAGCCTGAGATCATGACCTGAGCCCCTCCGGGTTATTTTCTGAATGAAGACAGGCCCAGTCGGGGCTACCACGGTGAGATATGTTATCAGTGTTCCCTTTGAGCAGAGTGTCCTTGTGGCTGAACTTCTAACTTCATTTGTGAATGACCCCAAAAATCTGCCTCTCAGAGATTATAGGATGCCGGTGCTGTACAATTAGAAGACTGTCATCAATGTGGCAAAGTCTTGATAATTCTAGAATGTGGAGATATTCACCCAATCTCTATTTTGACAAGTTTCCCAGGTGATTCTGATGAACACTCAACTTGGAGAACCTGTCATTGCCAAGTTTGAGGCATTTGGGGATTCATTATGCTATTTTCCCTACTTTTGTATATACATTTGGTAATTTTCATGACCCAAAAAAAAAAAAAAAAATTAACTCCATTATCTGTCTTCTCTTTAGATAACACTGCCTGCTACCTCTACTTCTTTTTTTTTCTTTTTTAAGATTCTATTTATTTGACAGAGAGAGACACAGCGAGAGAGGGAACACAAGCAGGGGGAGTGGGAGAGGGAGAAGCAGGCTTCCTGCTGAGCAGGGAGCCCGATGCGGGGCTCGATCCCAGGACCCTGGGATCATGACCTGAGCCGGAGGCAGCCGCTTAACGATGAGCCACCCAGGCGCCCCTGCTACCTCTACTTCTTTCTCCATGAAACAAAGGTAAGTGTCCCTAGGAGCGGCTGTGACAGACACACAACCATTCTGTAACAGTCCCAGCTCTATGCCCACTGGCATGAAGTTGGTATTATATATCGTTTTGTCTGTAAATTTACATTTTTCACTCCCTTCCTTTGTCAAGGCTTCAGAACCCACAACGGAGATGATAGAGGTGGGTCTTTGTTGGAGTGAAGGTTTCAGGGAAACCCAAACACCAAGCACTGGATAATTTCTCCACCTCTGAAGGGCCTTCATCCAATTCTCCAGCAATCTTCTAAATCAGTGATTTTCAATGTATCGTCCCTGGACCAGCAGCACCAGCTTCCCCTGGGAACTTGTGAGAAATATAAATTCTCAGGCCCCTCCCAGAACTGCTGAATCAGAAACTCTGGGGGTGAGGCTCAGCAATCTGTGTTTTGACAAGTTGTTACCCCTCCCCCCCACCTCCCACATGATTCAGATGCATGCTGAACTTTGAGAACCACTGTCATTTCCTGAGGCCACTGGAGTTGAGAATTTGCTGGGTTTCTCTGACTCCTATTGGCCGATGTGGCCATCCAGCCCAGGAAATAATCCCTGCTGGCAGCCACTCTTAAGTTAATCACTGCATCATGATCAATTAAGAGCTTGAGCAAGATGCTTGGCCGTACAAGGGCCATGTGCCGGCCTGGTGTCAAGCAAAGGCTCCATAGATCTGACCTGCTGCCATGCACACGGAGATTTCTACACTGGGTGATGCTCTTGGTGGGAAGGGCTGCCCCTTGGAGGAGCAAGGGCTTAGGCAAAGGACTCCATAACCCCCCTTAAAGATCTCACACTCTAGGAGAAAGCCAACCAGATGCACGGTCTCCAAGTAGCCAGTGAGAATTCAAGAATTTCGAAGTTCTTCTCTGTTCACCTGCCCCGAGGGACTGTAGGTTCCAAGGCTTCAATTAGACTGTCACTGTCTGACTACAACTCATTTACACCAGTGTAATTATGATATCATCTCTGGTCAGATATAATGAAAGAATATAATAAAATGAGAGTTGACTCTGTATCAGTCGCGGTGCTTTTGGTTGCAAGTGACAGAAACGAAACTCAAGCAGAAAGAATTCATTGGCTTGTGTAACTGTGGTATGTAGACATGAGACCTAGTTCAGGCAGATCCAGGTGCTCAAATCAGGCATGGTCAGGACTTACGTTCTTATGGTTCTGGAGGCTGGAAGTCCAAGATCGAGGGGCCATCAGGGCTGATTTCCGGTGAGGCCTCTCTTCCTGAATTGTAGACAGTTACCCTCTCACTGAGTCCTCACATGTCCTCACCCCTCTGTGCACGGGGATAGGGGGTGAGAGAGAGAGAGAGTTGGGCTGGGGGGGAGATCTGGGGTCTCTTCCTCTTCTTATAAGGACACCAGTACTATGGGATTGGGGCCCCACCCTTATGATCTCATTTAACCTTAATGATCTCCCATAAGGCCCCATGCCCAAATACAGTCATACTGGGGGCTAGGGTTTCAACATATGAATTTGGGGGGGCATAATTCAGTCTATGGCAGGCCCTCTGATTGGTCCAAATATGGGTCATGGCTCTATCTTTTAAACAATCTTTATATCCAGGGAGTAGATATTTTTATTGGACAGGGCAATTTCTACCTACCCGTGTAGCTGTGTGTGGGTAGTTCTCCAGGACAACAGGAACTGAGTGGGGGAGGGGTGATTCCCAAAAGGAAATCCGGGTGTAGGTCCCAGAAAGGGGAAGGAATATTAGGCAGTGTTATGCACTGAATGCTTGCATCCCCCACAAATTCATACATTGAAGCTCTAACCTCCAGTGTTTTGCTATTGGAGATGGGGCCTTAGGGAGGTAATTAGGGTTGGATGAGGTCATGAGGGATTAGTGCCCATGGCCTTTTGTGCCCTTATAAGAGACACCAGAGAGTTCTTTCCCTCCTTCTCTGCCATGTGAAAACACAGCAAGAAGGCTGCTATCTGCAAGCCAGGAAAGGAGCTCTCACCAGAAACAATTGGCTAGTACCTTTATCATGGACTTCCCAGCCTCCAAGACTGTGAGAAAAGCCCCCAGTCTATGGTATTTTGTTAAGGCAGCCCAACCTCAGACAGGAAGGCAAAAGCATCCATGTCCGTGACACTCTTCTAATCCTTTTAAATCCTTTTTGAGTTGAAGTTTTAGAAGTTTTTAGGCTCTGAGAACCAGCCAGACTTTCAGGCCCTTCTGGGGAACATCAGGTGTCCGTTAAGTTCTTGGCCACATCCACTTGGACCAGGATGGCCCATGAGCCAGGAGCAGCCCATCAAGGGGTCGGCCAGCAGCATTTGGAGTGGCCTGACATGTGAGCTTTGCCCAATAGAAGCCCATCAGATCCTCTCTGTTGAGGAGTCTGACTTGGAGGCACTGGGAGGGGTTAGCAGTTGACAAGGAGAGGAAGCAGAAGCCAAAGGACCACAAGACAGAAGGCAAAAGTTGTGAGGCTGAAGGGCCATGGCAGGGACTAAGGAGGGTTGAGTGGAACAGAGTGGCTGAAACCCAGTGGATGGAGAGCAGCGTATGCTCATTACTGAGGGCCAACAAGAAATCTGGTCCTTGGCTCTGGGTGGGACCCTGAAACCTTTGTCTCTGCTACCTGGCTGTGTGGCCAAGGGGCAGGACTCTGGAACCAAGCCACCAGAGTTTGGCTCCCAGTGCCATCCACTGTGGATATGTGTCCTTGGGCAAGTTACCCAACCTCTCTGAGCTTCCATTTCCTCATCTGTAAAGAGGAGCAACAACAGAACTGACCCTCAGGGCAACTGTGAGACATGAATGGGATAATATACACAGACAGTGCCTCCAATAGTGTTTGGCTCATAGTAATAAACGTTACATTTTTTTTAAGTTATTATTCCAGGGGCGCCTGGGTGGCTCACTTGGTTAAGTGTCTGACTTTTGGTTTTGGCTCAGGTCATGATCTCATGGGTCGGGGACAAGCCCCATCAGGCTCTGAACTCAGGGGAAGTCTGCGTGAAGAGTCTCTCTCTCCCTCTCCCCCTTCCCCCACTCACGCACACATGCACACACGTGCTCTATCAAATAAATAATAAATCTCTTTTTTTAAAAAAGTTATTACTTCAAGGAGTGCCTGGCTGGCTCAGTTGGTAGAGCATGCAACTCTTGATCTCCAGGTTGTGAGTTTGAGCCCCATGTTGGGTGTAGAGATTAATTAAAAATAAAAGAAAAAAGAAAGACAAAGAAAATTCCAGGTCCAGACGGTTTCATTGGAGAGTTCCACCAAACATTCAAAAGTAATTATTCCTTACATCCTTATGTATTTAAACAAGAAGACTCCACCACCTGGAGGCTGAGGGACCCCCAGTGGGTTACTGTTT